ACACACTAGTTATAGTTTGCAGGTTTCTTGACTTCTTGTAGTTAATTGTGTACAGAAATTCAATATCATTATGAATACCATAACTAAATTGAATAAGACTAGTAAGATGATAAACCTTATTTGGCTAAGTAATTACAACAAATACAGAATAAAGACAAATGATCAGCAAAATGTAAGTAATCAATTAAAATCAATTAATAAAATGAATAATGTACAAAAATGGGTAAATTATATCCCATTAAGAATAAATAAAAACACAGAAGTTGTCTTTTTTAATCAAGATGAAGTAGATGAACACTTAACTCAAGAATCTATGACTTGTGTTCAATATTGTATAGTTATTAACATACCAACAAAAATGAATAAGAATGAACTAAGCACAAATTATAAAAATCAAAACTGCTTTGAAGGCTATATAATATTGTTACATTTGAAGTGAACATGTTTACAAATTATTATAATATAAGTAATAATATTAATAATGATGCTAGTAGCATAAATAGTTGTCATACCATGGAGGTTAGGGTCTTTGAAGAGTCAAATAATTATGATAATACACAGATTAGTGTAAGTGCCTAAAAAAGAAAAATAAACGCAAAACTCAGAATAGATGGAAAATCATATAAGACTAGAAAAGGGACTGTAGTTAAAGAAAAATATGTCCAACCAAAACTTTGCTATACAAGAAAGTGTCAAAATAGTTGTGGTATAATTACTGAAGAATTAAGACAAAATTTCAACGCATATTATGAACTAGATAATCAGCAGAAAAAATATTTTCTTTTAGCATCAATACAGACTAAACCAGATAAAGAAAATATTCAAGTTCCATTGATATTAAAAATATTTGTTTGAATTCTTATTTTCTATCAATTGATAGTATAATGACAAAAGTTTGTCAACAATTTCTTTTGAAGACATTTAATATTACACAGACATATTTAAAATACACTGATTCAAATAAATCTAAATTATTAACTGCTAAAATGATAAACAAGATAAAAATAAACCCTGAAATAAAACACCTGATAGTAATTTACAAACAGTTAATCAATTTTAATTAATTTAATTTTAATTAATTATGAAATGTTGCATCTTGCGTACAAAGTGGTAAGGTAAATTGAAATATATTTTTAAGTTTTAACAAAATATATCAGTAATATCAGTTCCTTTACTTTTGATAATACTAGTTATAAAAAGTTGAAACATTTATAAAAATTAAAATTGTAGAAGAAGGGATAGTACAAAAACGAAATAAAGCTAAAACGCAAAAATACAAATTTATTAACGAACAGCGACAAATGAAAGCTGGACAAATTTCAAGAAATGAATTTTTAAAAAAAAGTATTTTTAAAAATAAACGACAAAATGTTAATCCTTAGCTACACGTGATCATAAAGGTCTCTTAAAATAATTTTTAAATATAATAATATTTTTCAGTTTTAAAAATTGGTTTTTATTTATTTTTATGCCTAATACTCTAAAAGTCTCTAAACTAAAAGCTGTCATAACACATTACTTCTAATTAAATGATAAAGGTGTATATAGGTTATCGTAACGATATGTATATATAGTATATATGGAAGGTATATATAATAATATTAATTATAGTATAGATAAAATAAATTGCCACAGTTTGTATCTTATCGGTTTTGTCGCATATAGTAAAATCTTAATTTTACCATCTTCCAAAGTGTCTTACAATGATTTTCAACAATTACGGAATTTAAAATATAGTCTTTTTCTTTGAATTTTACTTTTAAATCAACTGTAAAATATGTATTAATATTACAACCTGCCTGTAAATTTATGGGTTGCCTGTTAACTACTAAATTTTTAAAGATAATTATTTTTAATTAAGTTAGTAGATTTTGGTAGATTAACATCATAGCCAGTATCTAGTTTAAAATTAATACTTTTATTTTCAACGAGAATAGTCTCAGACCGGGAAACAGCAAAAGTATATACCATAGAACAAAAATAATTATCATTAGTCAGCCCCTCAACGTTTATAACAAATGTAATCTCAGATTTACAAGCATTTTGAAAATGATTAAATTAGTTACATTTTGAACATTTTTTCCATACGAAAATGCCGTGTTTTATGCACGGCATAAAATGTCGTGCATAAAATTACAAAATTTACATAATTTATTTGACCGATTACAATTATTATTCGTTTATTAATTATTTACTGAAAAGTTACCCATATTTTTGAAAATCTGTAATGACTTCTGTTGACTATATATTTTTGTTTTTCGTTAATTAGTTTGACATAGACCACGATGTTCATTGTTACCGTTGTTCTGGGTATAGTGATGTTGACCTTGATATGGTACGCTTACTACCATGTGATTTTGAATGAATTACATATACTTAATTTTGTTTTCCACCAATCTACTTAATTTGATCGAGTTCTCTTTATTTAATTTCAACAATACGAAGAGTTTCTATTGCAGCTTCAAGAGTAACATCAGTTTGCTTAATTAACTTGTCGCGAGTCTCATTATCTCTCGTGTCAAGAACAATTTTGTCACGTAAAATTTCTTCAGAATTCACCATCGTTAATCAAACCCTGACACGCCGACAGAAAAACCTCTATCGATTAATTTTTTTTTCTAAACCGTTTATAAAATACATACCTGTAGTGTAGAACATTTTTCTTTGGTTTGCAGTAATCTTCAAACGCGTTTAGCACATGCTCAGAAGGGGCGAAAAGAAATTTTAGATAGTACATCCATAGAAGATAATCCAATAAAATTAGGTGCTAAAATCGAAAACACTTTAATCACTAAAATTACTCGTATTATATTTTTAAAAAGTCTTGCTAAAACTCCCAAAAAAAAACGCGACAAAATGCAATATCCCATTGGTGTCATTTCATCTTATTGTCATATTTTACAACTAAACTTTATTATTAAAACATTAAATATAATAAATAGAAATATTAAATAACCATAGTAGTACTTCTAAAGGCGTACTGTTTTATTGTATGGATATACCGAATGGTTAAACGTGATTACCAATATAATAATTACAGATTATTGATATTAAGCCGGGTTCACACTGATTTAGTACATGACTGAATTATTAAAGCAAGTTGCTAAATTTTTCTATTCGTTAAAATATGGGCATAATATTTAGTACTAGTTTTTGTAGATATTGTAGTTAAGTTACATAATAACGATTCTATTTTTTCGGCCGAGTTGGAATGGTACTCGCACTTGTTTTTTTACTAAACCAATTTTGACATCACTGTCACTGATACATTTAATAAATTCGCGCGTAAAATTCGTTATCAGTGTCATTTATGTTATCATTCTGTGATACCAATTCAATATTTTTTGTGATTAAAATATTACAATATATAACATATTATAACTTTTGTAATATTTGCTGTTCAATAATCCGAGTCATCATGAATTGTAAGAGGGATGAAAATACCACTTTAAGGTTTGTGGAAGAATACCAATAGCATGAATGTTTGTGGAATCTCCACTACAATTTATATAAAAATAAGCAGGCAAGTTAAAGTGCCTACAGTGTTTTAATTATATTAATAATACATTGACTTTGGTCCTACATTCCTACAAAGCTTACCTCTAGAATGAATAATAATAAATTTTAATATACTGTGTATGGACACATACTAGCAGCGTTATCATCTTTCAGTGTTCAAAATACGGGACTCGTATTTTCTAAGGATTATTTTTATATATTTATTATATTCAGTTTGATTTATAAGCATGCCAATATTATAAAATATTTTCAAATCATATAGCTCCTTAAAATTCAAAATAATAATATAAATTTGGCTTTTTATTTTATTATGTTTGTAAATCCTTTGGTTATATAAGATTAAGTGCCAATGCCTGAAAAAAAAAAAACGGATGTTTATTAAAATATTAATAAAATAAATATAAGGCTTTCACAGGTATTGTAGTGCTTATAGCATTTATGAAGTATACTTTATCAGTTCCAGTGGTTAGTAAATACAACTGGATTTAATGTGCTGCGTATGAGTGACAAAAAATGTATAAATTAATTTAATGGATTTGGCATAAATGCATGGAATTATCGATTTTAAACATCTTGGTATTTGTGTATTGTGTTAATAATTACTCAAATACGGAAGATATTACGTCCCGTCACTTATATTGCCAAAACGCGGTACAAATCAAATAAAAACAGGACTATCCCGTGAAATAGGGGACGGGTGGCATTCCCGTAAAGTAGACGCAATTTAGTACTCGATTTAGTAACTTGCTTAGTGACTCGGCCAAGTACTAAACCAGTGTGAACCCGGCTTTATAGATAACAAGTACTAAAGCTATGTAACAGTTAAGGTTTTTTTTTAAAGATGAATCTAACAGAGTTCACTCAATGCCATTAATTAGTATCTATTAGTGTAATGTGATCTTGTTCGTATCAATTTCGACTAGAAGTTAACTAATATAATTTAGTGCATTAGATAAATCCATACTGTTTGGTTCTTGGTGTTTTCCGTTTTCGTTAAACCTCCTACCATTATTTCTATGTATATTAAAACACCAACTTAACAGGTTTGAATTTCAAGCCACTTTGATAATTAATTTTTGAGTTATGATGTAAAATAAAATCGATTTTGTAGAAACCCTGTGTGCTGTAAATAATATTTTCTACTTTTCGTCAGTTTTTTTGAAATTATTTGGATAGCTATTGGACATTTTGTAACACCACATCCCTCTGATATGACCAACAAATATTTACTAGGGAGTTTTAGTAGATTTTGGTTTAGTTTGTATTTTTAAAATAATGGTTGAATATTTTAGGTTTAACATTTTAATATTTTATATAAATTACAGTTTAATATAGACATAGTTATTTAGAACTTTTTCTAGAAATTAATCAAAAATTTAATTTAATAAAAGTAACAGATAACACATTTGTGTATCAAAATATGTTATCTATGTTATAACTAACTATGGCTACTATATACTTATTTTTATGTTACAATACAGATAAAAAGAATTTTTGTTCAAACTAGTCAAAATGGATCAAATGTTACCGAGTCCAGGGTTCAGTATTCCAAGTATTGGAACCCCAGTACATCAACCTGAAGAAGATCAGCAGATCATGCAAATGCCTCCGTTGCAACCTCAAGGCTTGGCCATGAGTACAAGTAGTTTACCAACTCAACAGCAGTCAATAAATAAAATATACCAAACAAATAATATGGGATATGCAACACCTCACAGTATGATGCACTCCACAACACCAGTAATATATTTTTATTTTTAAAGATAACATTATCTTCAAACCTAGAGAATAAAACCAGTATATTTATATAGGTACACCAAAGTATGCCATCTTTGACATCTATCAGTTCATCATCTTCTGTTGTACCAGCCTTACAAACCATTCAAAACCCAGCAACTCCTGCTCCCATGACACCCATGACTCCGGCTTCAGCTGATCCAGGAATTGTTCCTCAGCTTCAGTAAGTAATTTTATTTTTATACTTTCTATACTGAGTAATATTATGGTACTATTAATAATTTTTTTATTTATAAGAAATATAGTGTCAACAGTTAATCTTGGCTGTCGACTTGACCTGAAGACAATTGCTTTACATGCTCGTAATGCTGAATTTAACCCTAAACGATTTGCAGCTGTGATCATGAGAATACGTGAACCACGTACTACAGCTCTAATTTTTAGTTCTGGCAAAATGGTATGTACCGGTGCCAAAAGTGAAGAAGATTCAAGGCTAGCTGCTAGAAAATATGCTAGAATCATTCAAAAACTCAGTTTTCCAGTAAGTTTTGTTAATGTATTAAACTATTCTGTCTATAGTATTTAATTATTTTTGTTAGTCAATAATTTTTTGCATTTTAAGGCCAAATTTATGGATTTTAAAATTCAAAACATGGTTGGCAGTTGTGATGTAAAATTTCCTATTCGCCTTGAAGGATTAGTACTTACTCATGGCCAGTTTAGCAGGTTGATTACTTTATTTCAGTAATTTATTATTTGTTTTCATATTTTAATTAAACTATTTTTTCTAGTTATGAACCAGAACTATTTCCTGGACTTATTTACAGAATGGTCAAACCACGTATAGTGTTATTGATTTTTGTATCTGGAAAAGTTGTATTGACAGGTAACTAATTACTATAATTCTTTATTGTTAATACAATTAAATACAATAATTATGAACCTATTATATTGTAAAGCAAGTAGAATTCAATGTACCATATAATATATTAACTATATCCACCAGAAAATTATTTAAGAAAAACTAAGCTGTTGTCAGATAAAAATTGTCCAGTATCACCTAAGTATAATGATTGAATTATTGATTATTATTTGTCAATGGTATATCAGCATGATTACGATAGCATATAATATGTGATATTAATCTGTTCGGTCACAATTATAATTTTACCAGAGAAATATTTTTAGTAGTACACTCGATAGTTGTGCAATTCATTACATTATATCCCATATTTTTTCTTCACATAATTTGCCATTTATGTATTTATATCATGAAAATAAAATATTTGTATGATAAAAAATGGCTGTTCAATATTATATTCAAACTAATAACTCACTTTGATTTCAACGAGGATTAAAATTGTTTGATACATTGTTATATATAGTAGTGTCCAAAATTTTCATAGAGTATAGTATTTAAAACAGAAATTTTAGAAAATATTTCTATGATACTTAAGTATTATAGAGTATTATTAATAGTTGTTTGTAAGTGTATTTACTAATGCAATTTCTGTTTTAAAATTGAAACTACTTTCATAAACAATTCTCTGATAATCCAGAATTTAATACACCCAAAAAATTAACCCTTAATTATCTGATATTTCTTAAAAATATCAAAATCATCTTCTTTTCTTATGTTATAGTTTAGAAAACAATTTCCTGCTTGCTACTTAGGTTTTAATGAACAACTATAGAATTTATATATTAAATAGTATGTAATATAATTTTTCTTATTCATTTCACTACACTAATTCATTATATATTTTATTAACAGGTGCCAAAGTACGACAAGAAATTTATGATGCTTATGATAATATCTATCCAATATTAAAAAGTTTTAAGAAAAACTAAATTGATATTATATTGAATAAATATTTTCAATATTTGTATATTATAGACCTCTAAGTTTCTTTTTTAAACTAATTTAATTAATTTAAGTATCAATAGGTTAAGTTGTTTTATTGTATTAATTACTAAGAGCGAAGAATATTTTTTGCTTGTTATTTTCATACATAAAATAATGAATTAAAATAAAATCGAGTTAAAACTTAAGTGCCACTTATAGTCTTATAAATTCTCAGTGGACTTGTTACCCATGCTTTTATTAAAAAATATCAAACTTTACAATAATTTACAGTATGAGGCGGAAACATCAAGTCACCCAAGATATGGTTAGTTCCAGAATTTAACTTAATTTATTAATAATATTTTAATTTAATTTTTTTTTTCACATATACATTTTAGTGTATGACTCATATTTCAACAGTCATTTTTTAGAAGAAGTAATTACTATGTTAAAATTATAACCAAAAGAAGGTGACTGGAGTAGTGGCTTAACTAGAGCTGTTAGGTAAATAATTTAACACTCATTCATGTCGTGTCTCATTTTTATCCAAATAATTTAGATCAAAATAGTAAAAAGTATTTACTATTAACTAAATAGTAGTCAGTTAACAAATTAAATTGGACTAATATTGAGTTTTGATAAAATAATGCTATTGAGAACAGAATAATGTGTCCAATGTGCAAAGGGCAGTCTTTCTTTCTGAACAGGCTTTGTGAAACAATCTAACATAATTTCACAAGTAGTAAACAACAGTAACAATTGTCTTTTGAGGTAGTACCAAAGCAATGTGTTTAATATAAAAATTATTTTACTTAATGTATTCATAAAAGGCATTTTTCTGCTTCATACTGTATTTATATTTTATCTTGATATAAATTATATTTCAATTTTTCACTAATTATATTTATTGAAATAACTTAAACATATAAGAATGCATTAAAAGAATATCTAATGTATACTCAATAATCATATTTATAGCCATTAATAACAATTGTTATTTATTAATAAGTAAAAGTGGTGTATACATTCTAAATTAATGTACTTATACTTCTGCACTTGATTTTCAGTTAAAAAGTTAAAGCCATAAATTTCTAATATAAATTCTTTCACTGTTATACATCCTATTGAATTATTCATTTATGCTAAATAATAACTTCTGTTTACTATTATTTGAAATATATATACAAAACTTATTTCTTCATGTGATGTTTTATTATTTTAATTATTTTATTAACTATTTGTATTTTCAGATTCAAAATGTAAAACAGTAGAGACAAAAAGTAAGACTCCTAAATTGAGTTAGGTATAGGGATCTTTGAATTGTATAATTGTATTGGTCTTTTTAACTATATACCAAATTTCATAATGAGGTAGGATAAACATTTAATGTTCTAATTTTTGCATAAAAAAATCATCAAACATTTGGGAAAATTCAAAATTTGAAGTGTCTTGAAATACCATAAATGTCATTAAAATAATTGGAAACTTCTCGTATGAAATGTCAATATAAATAACTAATATCGTTTGATGAAAATTTATTGAAATATTCATAATATATAAAATATATAATGTACCTATATTATAATTATTTATAATAACTTATTAGTTTAAACATAAATAGGAGATTATAATATTTTTTATGTTTGTTATTTTATATATTTTTATTGTTTGTCATTACTATAAACTACCTCAAAAAATATTTTAGTACCATGGAAAACACAATTTATGAATAAATACATAACTTTTATATTAATGTACTTTTATAAATTATACCTAAAATTAATTTCTCTTTATAATTTTAATTTTGCAAAATTAATACTTATCATGCGTGTATTTTAGACACTGTTCGTCTAACAGTGTGATTTTTTAACATCAGGCATAAAACACGATATATTTAAACACAAAAGTAATTTTTACACCACTAACATTTTTCTCTTTGAAGCATTATTTTTATACACAATAAAAAAAAAAAAAATGGTTTTTTGGTTGTGTAGTCCTTTTAATAAAATCATTTGAAAGGCGGGAATCCTTATCTCAGACGTGCACATATTATCACAATTGTCATTATGATACACCTTGCATACGATATTATATTATACCACAGAATAAATTAAATTTAACTTATCTTTGATTATTTTGCATAGTACAATCATGCTACTCTGTGGCTAATCTTTAGAACACATTTTGCCACTTTTAATAGTTATTATTTATTACTGCATTTTCGATTCAAAAATGTTGAATTTAATGTAATGTATTTCATATAGTCCATGATCGGGAATATAGTCCAACAACTAACCGTGAAATGGTTGTTTCTTGTTGTGTCCGGGGTTGTAAGAATAGAGGAAGTGGTTCAGTGCACAAGAAAATTAAATATTTCAGGTGATGAGTGGATCTCATAATTCACATGCATCTAGACGTCTGATGTAAACAAATTATTTTTTCTAAAAAATGTTAATTGTTTACTTATTTTCATGTAGATTTCCTAAGGATGCAGTGCGTAGAACGTTGTGGGTGAAAGCAATTTCCAGAGAAAATTTTGTGCCTGTAAACCATAGGGTTTGTAATGCACACTTCACAAATGATGATTTTCAAGAGATATCCAATATTACGAAATTAAAAAAAAATGCTGTTCCTAGTGTGTTCAGTAATTGTTTGGTCAATGTGAAACCAATTGTTAAGAAGAAATTAGTTTCTTTTGATCCAGTTCTAAAACCCATCATACCACTTGAAAATAATCATATTGATTCATGGGATCATACTTATGTACAAAAAATTCCTGAGGTATCTGCATTTGAGGAAACATGTTCAGATAATATACCCATTGATCCATCATTGTATATGATTCAAACTTTAAGTGTAGATGAAAACATTATTAATGAACCAAATTTGTGTAAATCAAATGAAATAGGTATGGAAACTAGTTGATACACAAGTTTTATCATCATGTAAGTTTATTTTATGGTGTAATTTTTTTGTATTTCTAAACAGAATCTTGTATAACAGACGATATTAAACAATTTGGAAGACAATATTTCCAAAATATGCAAAAAGATTGGAGGAAAATCTCATTAGCGCAATCTTATACTATAAGAGATTTAAGGAAAAAAGTTAAAATTCTTCAACAAAAAGTTAGGCGATATGCTATAAAAATTAAATTGTTAAAGGTTGTTGATTGTAACAAATTTGAATCACAGCCAAAAAAGCGGAAAATAGGCATTGTTGTTGAAACTTGAAGAGCATCTAACCTTTCAAACATTTTTAAAAAACTATAATTATTTAATAATCTATCTCGTAATTCTTTACAAAATCATTACCTTTGTATTATATTATTTTTTATATACTATAGGCATGTGATAATTTTATTAGGTATATGTTGAACAAATTAAATCGAATTGAAAATACATTTTGTGAGCAAAAAAGCCATCATCTCATACTCATACTGGTGTTTTATTGTATATATATGCTACAAAAATGTCAGTTAATTAAAAATTCTAATATTTCTGTTTTATTTTTAATTTTTACAAATCTTTAATATTTATTTTTTTCATAAATAAATTTTGTTCTCTACAGGTCCTTATACAATTTTGCTTTTTGATTAATTAATAATTTATTGTAATTAATGTTTAAATTTACTTAAACCATATTATAATGTATTACAAACATTTTGAATTAGGTGTTCTATTCAACTGAAAATGTAATTTTTTTTGTGATATTTTAAAGGGTGAGAAATCTTCAACTACCCTATTAATTATTTACAATTGTTTATAACAAGAATTATTAATAAGTTTTTTATATTATTGTTTACAAATGTTGTGTAATAAAATTAAATAGTCAATAAATAAATAAAAATAAATAAATAATTTTATAGTTAAGGTTCTAGAGTTAGCTAGGAACTATTTACCAACAATAATTATAATAAATCAATTCGAATTATAAAAAAAAGTAAAATTATTTAAGGCATTTTAAATACATTTATGGAAACAAATACATTATTTTAAGTGATTTTATATATATTTTAATCAGTGGCATATACATAACTTTTGTATGGGGGGGGGGGATTAGTTGCAAACAGATTATTATGGAAGGAAAATTCCTAAACCTAAGTATCAGCACATTTAAATAATAAATAATAGAAGATATATATATACATATTGAACATGTCAAAATAATAATTTACAATAAATCCTTGCAATATTTTTTTGTTTCCTTATAATTTCTTTATATTATGAACATTATTTTATACAATTTAAAAAGTCTTATGGGGATCTGACCCCAACATCACCCCCTTTTATACGCCCCTGATTTAAATATGTATTAGTGATGTGTTACAAAATCTAAATGCATTTTAGTGAATTATCTTAAATTTAATTGTTTAATCCATAATTTGGCAATAAATTAATTTTATTTTTTTGGTAATGTACTAATCCTTATATAACAATTGATATTTAATTAAGTAACTTGTTTTATTAAATGGCATATTGAATTCTTGTACTCAGGATGAAAAGAATTAGGATTAAAGCTAATGAAAACAATACTGTCATCATTTTTTTATCATCAAATTCTATTTGTGCAAGAAAATAATACTTCCTATGAGAGATACTTGGTCATTAGTAATGACTCATTACCTTACACAATCCAGGCCATAGGGTGGCTCATGCCTAGGGTGACATTCAACATTTTTAAATTATAGATAATTTTTAAAAATTATTACAATTTCTAGTACCTACTCATATTAAATTGTATAGTAAAAAATAAGAATCTATAAATTATTTTGTTTTATTTAAATTAGTAGTGGCTTAGTTGTCTACAAATGTATTGATCTAATCAATTGTTAACTTTACATATATAAATAAAATAACTCAGAATAAAGTATATTTTAATATTGCTTTTGTAAAAAAAAATATTTAATGCATTATTTACATTTAAGGGGCGGAAAAACATAAGTTTGCCTAGATGTGAGTAAACATATGAACCGCGCCTGACTATGACCGTTACGCTTATTTGTACCAGAATACATTGTTTCTCGTGTCCCGGATCGAGGACAAGTTAAGTTAAACTCCTACTAGTCGCGCCCGCGGTGTCGTTTGGAAAAAACGGTTTTCTTTACTTTTAGTTATCCATAAGCTTAGTATGACGCCTGCTATTCCTACATTCTGTGTTTATAAATATATTGCAATAGTTATACCATTGATTAAATATACATATATATTTAATCAATGATTATACATTCTATCCGTACGTGTGGAGTCAGTGGCGTATTTTCAACATTTTTGTTGGAGAGTGGTTTAAAGTTTTTTCAAATAATAAGTGATTTTATTATGTGATAAAATAAATATATATATATATATATATAAGGTATGAATTAATAATAATATTATTCTATTATTATTATTATTATTATAATAAATACAAATGAAAAGTTATTTATAATCATTTAATATAAAATAAAGTAGTAAGATATTTATAACTTGAACTTATTTTTTCTTCTGTGGGGAGAGGGTCTCAAGATCCATCATCCAGAAGAAATAATTGTATATACATCATACTATTTTAGTAATAATATTATCTAGTTCTTGACGAAAGACTAACAAGTAGTGTGATAAATAATTAATTTCCGCCAGTAAATTAGCAACGTTTAAAATAGTTAATAAGTGTAAAATAAATTTTAAGTTTGATGTAGAATCAGTAATAGAATCAGAAATATACACATATTATTTGGTGCGCAATGGTATTGTGATTTTAACATGTAAAAAGGGATCGGGGCACAATCATGTTGCAATTTATTTGCGCAATCGTGGTGTAATTAGTAGGGTAAAAAAGAAAAAAATTGCACGATCGCGGTGCAGCCATATCTAGTGGGTTATACGATCGATACGGGTTTATAGTATTATTTATACTTACATAAAAATTATAACGAGATATGAGAGGTAGTTTGCAAATAGAATATTACTGGAAATATTAAGTCCTCTTAATACATTTTTTTTCGATCGGTTGAAATATGTATATATAGTTATATGTATTTATAGTTTTTAATTTTAAATTTGAAAAATTTGTCGAAATATGCAAAATAAGCATAAAAATTTTAAAATACGCACTTTCCTGCAAAATTTATCAAATATGCAAAAATATGCACATTCAAATTTTAGATCTGATATCATGGCACCGAGAAACGAATTTATTTCGCACTCTTCTATATTTAACTATAATTAAAAAAAGTATGCAAATGCTAGAAGTCCCTAAGTCTAGTTATCACTATAATTTTATTGTAATGGATTTCTTTAATTCGTTAAGAGCTATTGAAAACCAATTGGTAAACGATTAAACTCATTGAAATATATGACAATATTATATCCATTTATTAGCATAATTCGTAATTTTAAATATTTAAGGTTAGACATTTATATTGGACATGTAGAAAATCAGAAAAATGACACGTTTACTGTACCAGTACTTGTGTACAAATTATAAATAATTTTACTTTTGGAATGGTTTGACGTCCTCTTCCACACATGTTAATCGGTTCCGTAGTATTAAGAGCTGACGGTCGAAAATTTTATAAGTGCATGTCGCTGCCCTACTTTAGTAAAAATCCTAGTGATGCCATTGCTTTATTACCTTAGTATTAGTATCTTATCATTAATAATGCTATATAATTAATGTATTTCTACATGTGCTTTCGTTATGTATGTAAGATTGACGATGACGTGTTAATTTAATACATAAATATTAACACCTCTTACCATTACATGTAAACGGGCTTTTGTATTAGCATTTCATGCATTATTTATTTTTTAAAGACTATTCGTTTAATCGTTGCCACTGTATCGCGTACAACGTGTAACGTTAACTAGTGCTCTATAGTTATCTTTACCGTGTTATATACTTTTATTTTTCAACATTATTCAATATCTATACTCTTATGTTTAATCAGTGTCTAGATTAAATGAACATGTGAGTCAGTTCGTGATGGTAAATATTATTATTCACTTTTGTTAAGAATTTTTCTAGGTTTTTATGTGATACCTACCATTCATCGATCCATCGTTATAGCGTGCGCAGAGTTTCAAGTAGGTGGGTAGCAAATATTTTTACCGGCTCATACTTAAGTATTAAGTTGAGATTTTTAATTGGATAATTTACTATATCAAAATGAATAATACATTATTCTTTATAGTTATAATAATATCCGACATTTTATCATACGCGCCCGTGGGGGGGGGGGGGGACAAAGGAGCCATTGCCTCTATTGGGAGTTCTTATTTCAAAACTATTGGTAATTTAATACAACCCATACTAATTATCACATAATATTATCGAGATCCATTTATGAAGTTTAGTAAAATAAATTATATATTTAGATAATTTAAAATGTATAATCTTGAACGTATTTATTAACTTACAATGTTTACACATGACTGCTATCGCTTAAAACTATAAATTCTCTCGAGTACCGATTTTTATAGTACTTGATTTTGTTCTCATCTATTTTTAAAGAAATAGTTGTTGTGGCCTTTAGCATTTTAATCTTGCCCCGGGTGGGATTTTATCCTGTGAACGCACTTGCATTTTATTGGGAATAAGTGTTTAATTTCATCAAATACACTATTTACACATAGAGATTGTGATTAGTGGCTACACAATTAATAACATTAAGGAAAAATGATTTTTTTTTTTTTTTTTAGTAAAAAATAAATGTTAAAAATGTTTGAAATTAAGGCGTTCCTAGCTACGTAGCTATCTAAGCCTATTGATAATGTACTTTTTTTTTACAAATTTTTCTTTTTTTCTTTAAAATAATTGTAATATAGGTAATAATAAAATATTCAATTAATAGAAATAAGTTTAATTTAGGTGATTATCTGGCATGATGTATCCAATTAGGCAGTGACTGATGGTGGATGTCGCTCTCTGCGGTCGTGGGGTCTTCCTCTCTTGAAACGGCGAATAATTGGAGGACTTACATTTAAGTTATAATGCGTTGCACCATATGAGTTCATAAGTGAGTGGAAGAATCTGTTTGCTATATACCTTATGTTTTCGTCAGTTAGTATATGTTAAATACATTTTGGTACGTTTGCACATTTTAATTTGTAAAAAAGATCATCGTAACAAACACGATCAAAAGCTTTTGTGATGTCTAAAAAAACTGCACCTGAGTGGTTTTTTTTTCAAAACCATTATTAATTGATTCTGTGAGCCGGAGTAATTGTTCGTTTGTGGAATAGTGACCCTTGAACCCAAATTGAAATTTTAGTTTCGTTTCTATTGAATTAAGGTATTTTAAAAGACGGTTTTGTACAGATTTTTCGAAAAATTTGGAGAGTGTCGTTAGTAGGCTTATCAGCCTATAGTTATCTGGGTTTGACTTATCTTTACCTGGCTTGCTTAATAATACTATTATGGCCTTTTTCCAACCTATCGGGTAGTAACCGATATGATGTAGACTGTTGAACAGATTTGTTAGGTAGGTTATTGCTTTATTGGGAAGTTTTTTAAGCATTTGATTGGTTATTTGGTCCACCTCAGGTGACTTTCTATGCGGCAATAATTTTATGTTGTTTTTAATTTCTATGGGGTTAATATATAGGAACATATTTTGAACTGTGAAATCTTCCATTAGTTCGCTGTTTTTTCCTAAATTATAGGTTGGCTGATGTTTTACGTCGTTAGGTTTAAATATGTTTTCTAGATTATGCGCAATAAGCTCACAATTTTTCTCATCAGTTATAGCTGCGGATTGTGTTGTAATATGAAGGGGAGGAATATTATTGTAGTCCTTATTTATTAGTCTTTTCGTGCATCTCCAAAGATTAGGAGCATTTGGGTGGATTTCTGATAAATATTTTTTATAAGAATTAATTCTATAGTTATCTAGTTTATCACCTACTTGTTTTGTTAAGGCGTTAAGTAATCGACGATCTTCCGGACGTCTGTATTGTTGCCACGAACACATAACTGTGTGCTTTTGTTGAGTAAGAACTAGTATCTTTTTAGGGATAGAATTGTATGTAGGATGATTTTGTGAGCTTTCAAAGCAGTTTAGGGCAACCATAGTGATTGTATCAGTTAGGTGACTAATTGCATAATTGGCAGTAATCTTTGAATAAATTTTGTTTGAATTTTGTAAATTATCAGTTATAAGTGTTATAAGTTTGGAAAATTTACACCAGTTTGGTTTTCCGTTAATTATTTTTTTACCTGGTGATACGTACGCATTGGTAGGTTTTTTGGTCTATTGTAAAATCATCTTGGGCACAGTTGCTAGTGATAAGTGAAACTGCCATTAATTTGTAATATTGTGAACAAATATAGGTGGTATTTTCCTTACCTCGGAATGTGTGTTGTCAATATCGGCCAGTGTGATGCCATTTGCTTCTTCATTGTCCAATAAGTTGGATAGGGGTACATATCGGTTTTTTATTTTTAATTGAGGACTTGTTGGTGACGTTGGGAAGAGATTTTCTTTTCTTTTCCTCTTAAGCGAGGAGTTTACCTCCGTTTTGCCGGCTTGTTCGAGAGGCATTTGTAAACATTTTATGCAAATGCAATTTCGCTAAACGTTATTTACGGAACGGAAACTTTATCGAACCTTGCCGCGCTGGCTGCTGATAACGAACTGGCTGGGGTTAAAACTATATAATAACAATTATAATTATAATACGATAAAAATGTATGTATTATTGTATTTTGAGTTTTTTTTTTTTTTTTTTAAGGGTTTCCCAAAAATATTTTTATCTCCAAAAATATTATAATAGTTTCATCACAAAGTCGTACTTCTATAGTTTTCTATGGAATTATATTCATAACCCAATGACATATAAGCACTAAAAGTGGAATTTTCTTGTAAAAAAAAAAAAAAAAAAACGAAGTATAACTGTTTAAATTGTTGACTATAATAATTATGGTAAACAATTTAAACATTTTTTTATTCCAGTAATAATTGTTATTAGTGGAATAAAAAATGCTCAAAGAAAAAAAAATTGTGGAGTGTTTCACAACCACTAGAACATCCCTGTAATAGGCCACTGAGTTTGCGTGTTGTTAAAAATCGAAACACTCGTAAAAGCTAAACGAAAAAAATTATTAGTCGTTCACTCGATAAGTTTGAAGGTCACGGTTCGTACTAATACTAATGAGTACATTTTTTTGCATAAAAGCACGTGATTGAAACACGGACAGTGTTGTTAATAGATAGGTAATCATTTTTAATAACGTGTTAAAGTCAAAGTCGAACAGTGCTAGTACTCTCGTTGTACTAGTACCAGTACGTAGTACTACTCTCGTGGTTCGGCCGGACGATGTATGATCGTTGGAGTGTTTGACGTTGTGTTGCTGTCGTTTTGATTACCTTCGACCAACGGAGTAATCGAATCCATCACCATGTCACCGGGCCGTGGTTCAGCAGCAGCGGTGTACGCCACGTTGTTGAGCGTAGCGGTCCTGGTACCGGCACCGGATGCGACGGCGGAGGCGATGAACGTGTTGGCGGTACAGACCGTACCCAGAAAGAGCCAATGGAACGTGATGAGCGCGATACTGCGCGCGCTGACCGACCGCGGGCACAACGTCACCGTGTTCACACCGATCTTGGACGGCGACCGGGACCGCTACACCGAGGTGCACGTGCACGAAGGCGTCATGCAGGGCGGCGTAGGTCTGGACGTTGGTCTCACCAAGGTTTGGAATACCATTTCGAAACTGATGCCCATATTAGTGAACGTCACTCGGGATAGTTGCGAGACGATTTTTCAACATCCTCGAATGACGGATATCCTGCGCAACGGCCGCGGTTCCTCGGCCGGCTTCGACGTGGTCGTCATCTCGCCGATGATGTCCGAGTGCGTGTCATACGTGGCCACAGAGCTACGTGTCCCGATGATTTACGTCGTGTCGTCCCCGATCCTCACCTACTTGGAACGCTCGTTTTTCGGTCACGTCCCCAATCCCGCGGTCGTCGCACATGTCCTGTCTAGTCACGGCGTGCCCAAAACGTTCACCGAACGCCTAACCAACACACTGCTGACCGTTCACTGTTCGTTAAAAAAGTGGTACGCTGAACGCCGGCAAAGGCTGTCCAATCCTCAACCGTTCGACCGGGTCGATCTCGTCAAACCGTCGTTGACGTTCACCAACACCCATTTCATCACCGAGCCCGCTCGGCCGTTGACGCAAGACATCGTGCAAATCGGCGGCATACACCTCGCCCAACCCAAAGGGATACCAAAAGTAAGTGTATTCTAATCAAAATGTCTGATGCATATTCACGCATTGGCCGCGAACGTTTCATTGTTTCTTTTTGTTTTCGAAACGTATACTTGAAATATAGTGAACGCCACTTATAAGACTCACTTAGGGGTTCCAAAAATATAATTATTTTAATGTAGCTAGCAAATTTAAATATTATTTTATTGTTTGATCAATGTAAATATTGTAATTATAATGTAACATTGAATTAATTGTGAAAAATAAAATTAAAATGTATATAATTTTATAAATAAAATAAATATTTTCTAAAAAATAGGGATTATATATAAAAAATTACCCACAAAATTATAAATTGAAATCTAATCAATGTACAGCTTAAATCAACGTTTCTAAATGTGTGTTCCATGAATCCTTAGGGTTCCGTGGGACAATGCTAAGGGTTCCGCTAGATATATGTGATTATTCAGAAACTTATTTTATATTATAATTGGAAGAAATATTATTTTATGTTATATATAAAAATTGTGTTTTAAACTAATTTAAATAAAGAGTAATCATTAACAATATTAACAGTATCATTAAAACATTTTTTTAGAGTATTGGTTTTCCTATTTTTTTTTTGTTTTTTTAATAAAATTGAGTGGAATTGGAATTATAAACATTAGGGTTCTGCGAAACACTATTTTTTAAGGGTTCCGTAATTGTAAAAGTTTGGGAACCACTGGCTTGGATGTTCTATTACATCCTCGGGTATTACACTGACTTTTTAGTCGACATTGAGAGCAGCTAATCCATTGAGTCTTCTTTTGGATTTGGAATTTCTTAAATCAATCTTCGAATCAATTCTATTTTGTCAAACATTTTCGTTATTTTAGAAAGATACGACACTGTTCTTCATGGTTGGGGTCCGGACCCGGAGACCTCCCCACTGGTTGCGCCACTGTTACTGGTACAAATATTATTGTTAAATATGCGTATACAGTTTTTTTTCCGAAAATTGTTTCGATTAATATCGTTTGATAATCAGTTTATTATGCCGTCGTCTTCAGGTGGCGATTCACCCGCTGGGCAGAAGCTCAGTACTTCCAAAATGAAAACTTCTTTGAGTCTAAACCACGATTCTGATCCTGAATCGCTCATTCAAACTTAAAAAAACAATCGTAAAACTTCTTTGAATTCATCAAGTCGTATATTTCCAATCTTATAACAAATTATATCCAACTCACCATCATTAGCTTCGGGTAATACCGAATTCAATTATAATAATAAAAATATTTTATTTATCTCAACGTCTTTTTTTATCCTGATCTTTCCTTCGTATTATTCCAATTCCTCAATCTAAAGCCACCACTTATTTTTATCCAATCGTCTTATTTTCTGTTTAATTATTATTAGTTACCCTTCATTATATTTCAATAGTTTAATTATTTTTAGTTATATAAAATCTCAAAACAGCCAACTAACTCTTTCATCAATTTATAAAACCAATTCTGAAATTATTATGATCTGAATATTATACTTCATTCATGAGACTAGTCTAGTTGTTTAATTAGATTTAATTACAGTAGTTAAAATGTGCAACATAATATTTTAGCTTATACCAATTGTACTTATATTTTGTAAACGTTAAAAAAATTGAAAACATAATAATTTTCATAAAAATAAAAATTAAATAAGTGCATACACGTAAGATTTAATGCAGGGTTTTTTTTTGTATAAGGAATATTTATGTACTAGGTAGGCTTTGTGAAACGAGTTGAAAGAATTAGGTTGTTGCGATACATAAATATTTTTAATTGATGTGTTATAAATGTACATTTACTGAATTGTCGGTCATTATAGTTTTTTTTTAAACGATTTAATAATTATCATCAATAGCCAAGTCCGGATTAATGGTGGGAGAGGGTCTAGTCGGAAGGGTAGCCTCGAAACCCAAAAAATTTAAACCAATACACAGTTTTTATCATACTAAAATTAGTAGTTTTATAGACATAAATTTTAAATACCTATTAATTTTATAATGTAATTGACAATTGTGAAATAGTTTAAAAAATGTATTATTCTGCGAGCGTAGCGAGGGGCTTTGTAAATCATGTTTTGTCAAAAGGACTATTATAAAATATCAGCCCCAGGGCCCAATAGGTACTTAATCTAGCCTTGTGAATAGCCAAATTCGTTTTCCAGGACATTCTGGAATTCATCGAAGGATCTCCTCACGGAG